TCCTAAAGTCCTAAACAGAAGCCCCAGGTACACCACCAACCTGTTCGTGTGTCTAACCGCTTTTCCCCACTTTGACAGCAGTAATGACACCCAGTTACATCTATCAGAGTTGAGTAAAATCAAAGCTGAATCAGTGTGCAACTTGGCCAAAACAATGTTGGACTCTGTTTTCTCTGGTCCACTCCCCAATTGGACCAGGAGTGACATGTTTACCCGCATGTTCTTCTTAAATTGCTGGCTGTCTTAGTGGTGTCCAAAAAACGATGTGGGCTTTATAGATAATTGAGAAACTTTCTGGAGGAAACCTGGTCTTGTTGGGAGAGACGGCATCCATCCCATTTTGGATTTCTAGAAATTTATTTAACCCCCTAAAACGTGAATTTCCAGAGTTGGGACCAGGCAGCAGAGTTGCAGTTTTACACATCTCTCTGCAGCTTCTCCCCTCCTGTTATTCTCCCAAAACCTCACTCTCTTAGAACATCTAACTATTCATCATTGATTGAAGAAAATAAGAACAACCCTAGGTTTCGCTTCAGCACTGTAACCAGGCTGACAGAAAGTCAGAGCGCTCTCAAGGGATTATAAATGGGAAACATCCCTCTTATGGGACACTCCCAATAGGGCTTAAAATCTGGAACTATGCACCATTTTCTCTTAGAACTGAAGCTTTTCAGATAGAGGTGAAACATCTTCAAGAAACTTAAAGAAGTCCAGTCGCTTTTCCAAGATCCTTAGATCAGTGGAAGAAATGTTTCGTTACTCATCCAAGTGACTTATTCAGTCTCAGCTGAATGCAGATTTCCCCAACCTTATAAACAGTACATTTTCATCATTTATGAATAGCAGATGTGTTGATGCATGCTCAAAGTTGAGGCTTCAAAATGCAGAGTTCTCAAGCAGTGGGTGAAATCAAGCTAGTTACGTCTACCTTTCAAAAACAAAAGCTTTTTTCCAAACAAAATGGGAAGATGTAGGATTAATGACAACTGGCTCATGAACATTAATTAGTTACAAACAACAGACACAGCTCCTTTTTTGGTCAGGAGATATCTTGGAGCATTTCTGCTCTTTCCTTTTCATTTAATCTGCTTTTGCTGTTCCTGAATGTAGTGATGGAACTCCTCTCTGCAGTTAATAGACTGTTGTGCTACCTAGCTACGTACCATTACTCAGCATATTAAATAACAGGTTAAAATATTTCAAATGAATACCTTTTCGTTTCTGTCTATATACAGGTATTTGAACTGTTGTCATAGATTTCTACAGTACTAACCGGTGACTGGGACGATGCACGTTTCTGTGATTTTGTTTGATTGGTTGATGTTAAGATACTTATAAATTAATGCCAGTTTTATCCTTCTATAAGCATAGAGATATTTTTTCTTTTCTGGTCTAGAGAGGCATGTTGACAGTGTGGTCAGTAAGGTAGTAAGCCAGGAAACGGTGGCAAGAAAGTGGCGTTTAATGCAGAAATAGAACTACTCTGCTATGCCACACTGTAACTCTCCAAGCAGGAGGAACTATATACGTGCTGAGAATGACAATCTGTCTGCCTTGGATGGTTCAGAATGCTTGCTTGATGCTGACAATGCTCTTAGAATGACTCAGAGCAAGTGCAGGAGGGTAGTGTGGGAGGGAGGAAAAGGAACCGTCACTCAGCAGATTTTCTTTACAGGGAGGGAGGTGCAGCTGAAGGGAATCCTGCTGTTTAGCCAACCCTATCCCTCTAAGTTCATTGACAGTCAGTGACATCACTTCATTTCCATGCTGCTACTCTGTCCTCTATTGGCGGAGACCCACATTCTGTGGTGAAGCAGTCAGACCTGCTTGTATGGTCTGCAGTGATTGGCCAGGCTGGGCTGCAGTGAGGATGCAGGTTTTGGAGGCTCTCACTGCTGCATTTCCCTGGCTGATGATACTGAAGCTAGCACAGTGGGAAATCCTGACTGTGTGTTGCTGATTCTATTGCATTATCAGCATCAAGAGAAAAGATTTTTTGTCTGCATCTAACAATTTGATGATCCGTGAAGTAACCGTGCCTCAGAAGCAGTGTGGTAAGAGTTAGATGGGAGAACTTGGTTTTGTACTGCTGCAGCTGATGCTGTGATCCTGAGCCTGGACATTTTAATAAGGAAAAAGATGCACTTAGAATATGAGGCACTGAGTCTGAGAAGTGAGTGAAATCCTTTCTGCAGCCCCATGCTGTTATTAGCTTGCCTTTCCACACTTGTAATACTAGTTCACCTCTCTGCATTTTGCAAGACCTATACTGTTGCCGTTGCTTTTGGTCTGAGTGCAGTCACCCAAATAGTGTGGGAGAGCCAGTTTGAGGATGCTGCTGGACATACTGAGCTTTCTATACCAGAGACTTTTTGGCAGGACACAATGTAAGCCTGGTGAAACCCCGCTGCCAGGAGAGAAACAGTCTGAGACTACAAAAAACTGCAGAGAGCTACAGGCAAGTCTTCAGGAAAGCACTAAAGAGTCCTCTAATGGTAAAGAAATCAGCAGGAATAATGTTACTCCAAAGAAGAACATGGTATTAATCATGATGGCACCACCTACAGATCTTCAACAGGTAGGATAAAGCTGGTAGTATACGGTCTGTTTTCTAGACCTGTATAGCCCTTAGTGAGAGTTACTTCACTGTTCAACTTTCTAATAATATTAAATAGAGACCTTCAAGACTGAAAAATAAACCCACTGTAGTCCCCCAAAATGCAGTTTCTCTTAAGAACACTTGGGCTGACTACCAACCATGATTTTGGTGTGCGTGTGTGTGGGCGTGTGTTAGTTAGTTTTCCTTTCTAAACAACTATAATGAGGGTGGATTGTTTAAATCACAAATTTATAATTATATCACTTATATCACTATGACAAATATTATGCTTCTTTGTGGTAAAAACCAACCATGAGGTTTGTGCTTCAGTTTTGATGATTGAAATTCTTGCATTGTAATAGTCTGTTACTTGATACACTAGTAGGTATCAGAGTCTGCAATAGCAGAAAAGTACAGTTAGATGGATGCAGTTTAGAAATCAAGTCATTCTTATATGATCTTAGACTTTTTTTTATTGTAAGGTAGATCTTACAATAATACATACAGAGAAAAACATTGGCAACAGTGGGAAGGAAAAACTCCATTTTAACAAGAAAAAAACTCTGGCAAGTATGATTCAATGCAGAGGGGTCTATTAACACACAGTGAGTGAGAAAGGTGACTGAAGAAGAAATACATCAGTGTGCATCATGGGAATCCCCCAGCAGCCGACACCTATTGCAGCATAACTAAGGCAGGATTCAGGGACACCTAATCCATCCCTAACTATTTGCTTTAGCAAAAAGGAAAGTATTAAGCCTAATCTTACAAGTAGAGATAGTGTCTGTTTCCCGAATCCAAACTGGAAGCTGGTTCCATAGAAGAGGGGCCTGAAATCATTCTACTTGTAAATACTCTAGGAACAACAAGTAAGCCTCCAGTGCGAGAGTGAAGTGCTCTAATGGGCTGATATGGTACTATAAGGTCATTAAAATAAGATGGGGCCTGATTATTCAGACCTTGTATGTGAGGAGCAGGTTTTTGAAATCAATTCTAGATTTAACAGGGAGCCAATGAAGGGAAGCCAATATAGGAGAAATATGCTCTCTCTTTCTAGTCCCTGTCAGTACTCTTGCTGCAGCATTTTGGATTTACTGAAGGCTTCAGGGAGTTTTTAGGACATCCGGATAATAATGAATTACACTAGTCCAACTTGGAAGTAATAAATGCATGAACTAGTTTTTCAGCATCACTCTGAGACAGGATATCTATGAATCATTGAAGCATTAAAACATTAGTGACTGGAGTTGGTTTAAAAAGTTTAATATGTAACAATGACCTCTGCCAATCAACAGTGCCAATGGAAAAGTGAAGATAGGAGTTCAGGCAGGGTGGAGTGGGTGGAGGCAAGTGTCACAGCTGACTTGTGACAGAAGAATAGCAGCAAGAGTGCACAGTGAAGATTTCGTCAAAACAAAAGTTTTTCCCACTTCTTGTCTTAAAAGACCTCATACTACCATATCACCCCAGTAGAGCACTTTGTTCTCAGACTGCTGGCTTACTTGTAGTTCCTTGGATATTTAAAAGTAGAATGGGAGGCAGAGCCTTCAGGTTTTAGACCCCTCTTCTTCCCCCTTGCCTCCAACCAGTTACAGCAGATGACTTCCCCTCCCTGAGGTTTCTTTCCTGTTAAAAGGGAGTTTTTCTTTTATTTTTCCAATATGAAGTACCTTGATGATTTAGCCTACTGTAATTGTCACCATAAGTATATGTATATCACTTTAAATAAATTTTTTTTGGCTCTTTTCTTTTTTCTGTAGGTCAGGTTATAATAAGCACTTATTTTATAGTCCACTATAAAGTTTCATTTCAGTATGTTGAAATCTCTGATGATCATGTAATTTTCAGTAAGAGGAGTTACCCTGGTCAAATTGCTCTTCTGTGTTATAGCTTGATCTCAATAAGATGTTTTTGCTGATTTTAAAAAAAAATCTAACTTAATTTCGTTTCACTTCACTTCATTCTTAGCATATTAAAACTTCATGATGGTTCAAGTAGACAGTTTCAGTATATCTTTTTGTGTGATGGTTGACACCCCTTTCCTAATAGGAGGTGTCATCCATTCTTCTGGTACCCATTACCTGACAGTAGATGGCATTTAATTGTGTTTTGGTTAAAACTGTTTCCTTGCAACCTTTTCAGTTGACCTGACAAGCTTTGGTAGCACTAAGCACCCTGGATAGTCTTAAATATATAGTAACCTGAGATGTGTGGTGGTTGTAAAATACACTACACTCCAAATCAAGTCAACAAAGCACAGATGGTACGAGGCAGGGGATTGTACACCCTAACCTCGACTGCTGTTTGTCACATCACTCTTTCCACACAGATAATACTATACTATTAGAGTGTGTCATTACTTAAATGAGCTGGCATCTAAATGATTTCTCTTTGTTCACAGAAAATAGTGAAAGCCGGAGACAAAGACCTGGATGGACAGTTAGACTTTGAGGAATTTGTCCATTATCTCAGAGACCATGAGAAGAAACTCCGACTGGTCTTCAAGAGTTTGGACAGGAAGAATGATGGTAAGGCAGTTTGTTAGAAATAGAATGCCTTTTATTGTCACTATACACATGTACAATGAGATACAGAGCATCTCCTACTTAGTGCAGACATGTGGGAAACGAAAGGGGGTGAGGTGCACAGTTCTGCAGTGCCATATACATATGAACAGTATTCAAAAAATATCAAATGTACAAATATACAAATCGGGGGGGAATTTAATTGTGTTGTATGTTTACAGTGTGGGTTATTGCATGTAATAGTAATGGTAGTTGTGTATTCTGTGTATAGAGGGAAATCCTTAGATTGGGGGGTGGAACTGTGTTGTCAGTACACGGGTGAGTTCAGGGTGGTTATGGCTTTTGGGAAGAAACCATTCTTGGGTTAAAAGTTAAAGCGGAGTTTGAAGCATTTTCTGAGCAGTGCCAACAGCTGCTTCTGTGGTCACAGTTCATAAGTATTGGATTCTTAAACCAGAGTGCTGAGCCCATGCTGGTTTTTGAAGAACTGATAGGAACAGATGGTTTCTTTTAGACTTGATCTTAATCCTAAGGAAATGCAGAAGACATAGGATTGTGAATGAATTTGAATTGACTAATAAATCCTTGTGTTGCAGGTCGAATTGACTCACAAGAAATCATGCAGTCTCTGCGTGACCTGGGAGTGAACATCTCTGAGGAACAGGCAGAGAAGATTCTTAGAAGGTTAGATAATGCTGTCATCCACTGAACACATATCTATCAAAATGGTTAGGCAGCATCATTTTTTTGGTGTGTCACATTTGTGGTAATAAAGGTAGCGGCACTGTTTTCTTTAGCCTCTTTCACACATGCACGTCTTGGATTAATTGTGTCAGTAAATGGTAATTTAACGTTTCATCATCATATCTGAAGCATCCCATTTCTGTCGAGAAAAGTACAGACAGAGATCTGCACATTTTTGTGTCCAGTCCAATTCCTGCAGTGTTGGGTATTTCAGGAGGTTACTGTCAGTGCACACCTGGGACATCAGCCTCTCCTTTACTGACAATTTCAATCTCTTCTGGGAACGCAGTCAGTTATTCAGATACAATGGCATACATCCAATTGGACTTTGAACAAAACTTTTTTCCTTCAAAACTTCTGGTATTATCTACTCATGCATTCCTGTCCTTTGAACTACTCACAGTTTACAGTTGCTAATATATCACTATATAACTTTCCCAAACCGCTCTCTCATAATACAATAAAAATTAACAAGAGACCAGTCACCTACAAACCAGCAAGCAGACCTGTAATACACACTGCTTTTGTAGACCTTATCGGAACACATCACCCACGAGGCATCCAGGAAGCATCCTTATCAGATGCCTGAACCACTTCAACTGGCTCCTTTTAATATGGAGGACTCTATCTCTAAGGGAGAGGCCAGCCACCCTTCTGGGAAATTTCATTTCGAGCTTTGCTTTTACCCTCAGCTCTCTTTACCACAATGGACCAGTACAACACTGCAGCCTGTCAATTGATGGTATGATCACCTGTCAATCTCCCTCTCCCTCTCCCTGTGAACAAGACCCCAAGATACTTAAACTCCTCCACTTGGGGCAACAACTCATCCCTGAACCAAAGTGGGGAACAAGGTCAAATTCCTTTTCCAAGTGATATACAGTATGACAATGTCTAAAGCGGAACAGGCAGGAAAGGGAAAAAGATGAAAGATGTAATAAAAGGGCAAAGAGAAATACAAATAGAACACACAGTACAAAGAACTGCACAATATATCACCAACTGCTGCACCTGTAAGATAAACAAACATACAGCAACTGGAACACAAAAATTCTGAAGTGCACAATAACATAAATCAACAATCTTCTTGACTTTTTCACAAAATGTACTTGAAAATGAGAGTGGGAACCCACAATAATGCCCCCCAGGAGCCAGAGGCAGATAGAGATGAATCAAGGACAACCGGGCCATCCACAGTCCCCAAAAGTGCTGAAGACCTAAGGCCACAAATCTCTGCGATATCTGCGTTCCCATCCTAGCATGAGATGGAGTAAAACCCCATGTGGGGTGCCCACGGTCAAAGGGTGGGAGGGGGCAGACATTCTCTCCAGACTGATGTGATGTGTATTTGCTTCCATATCTTGTTAACTTATGTCACTTAAAATTCACCGCTTGTGAGGTTTGGGATACAGCAACTAAACCATGTGAATAGGACCTCTGGACAGGCATGTAATACTATATAGCATGAATATAGTTTTCAACAGAGTTGTCTTTGCAATGGGTGCATATGCTTGAGTGTGTACCAGCCATTTGGAACAACCTTTATTCTGTGTTGTGTTCTGTAGACAATTTTGTATAGGTTGTAAGTTTGGGCTTTTAGTCATTTTGAAGGTGTTAAAGCATATTTGTGTCCAGAAGTTTTGATCTGGATTGATGGAAAGATGCTCTGATTTTCATCCCTTTTTCATGCCACAATGAAAAATTTAGTTTTTTCTTTTTCAATTTACAATGTTTTTCACCCGTGAAGTGTAGTTTTGGTCTTTTGCTGCTGGTTCAGTATATTTTGGTCGGAGTGATGAAACCTGCAGTTTGAAATTCTGTGAGATGCTTTTTTAATCACTAGGAAAAGCTGCAAAACTTATGAAAATACAGTAAAGTCCAAAATTTCTGCTTATGCGGTTATGTGGTGAGCAGCAGATCAAACAAGTTAAGAATTATAAATGGCTTCAAGGGCACATTCGGACCTCTGAGACTCATTTAGACACATGCAGACATTTCTGCATCTCTGTCATTCAAAGAAACTTTGTAAATAGTTAATTTTATGCAATAGTGAATACTGAACTGTAAATGTAGTCTTTTTCAAGGAAGCAACGTTTTATTCAGTGTTTTCATAACAGCCTAATTTTATGCATTTAGTACTACTAGGGAGAACACACATGAGGTTTATGGACTGGACAAGATTGAAAACTTTTGCCCTCCACAATGGCTAAAAATAAAAACAGGTATCACTTTAGCCAGGTAGGTGGTATTGTGAGCACAAACATAACTTTGTCATTTTTAATTCCAATTTTAAGCAAGTCTTGAAAAGGAAAAGTGTTGTGATGTTGCTGTCAGATTGTCCTGTGATTGTTCTGTTTGTCACTCCCGTCTCCACTCATGTTTCTAATTTCTGCTTTATGTCAAGGTTCAGTGTGATCATTGTCTGTTTCCTCTAACCTCCTCCGTGTCTGTCTTTGTCTCCTTTTCTCTGGCTGATCTCAGAATAAGGAGGGGTCATATCTGGGCCCCTATTATGTAGTAAGTAGTAGCTTCTATAGTCTGCTTGCTCAGCCAACGCTGCACAAATCACCAATGCATAGTCAGCACGTCTGAGTGCTGACTATCAGTTTTCAGCTTCAGTGTATTCCAGTGACGTAAAAACGCAACATTTAATTGTAATGATACGCTGATTCAGGTTTAGCACAAATCGCTAAAGAAAAGCATCCTGCTACAACAAACTGCATCTGAATCCATGGAGGCAAATGTCTAAATTACTGAGAAGAAACAGTGCATGTGAGCAAACTGCTTGTGTTTCCTCCTAAAAGCATCACATCTCTTATACTCTGCTGTGTTCTCTCTTGCATCTGCAGTATGGATAAAAATGGAACAATGACCATTGACTGGAATGAGTGGCGGGACTACCACCTCCTGCATCCAGCTGACAACATCCCTGAGATTATTCTTTATTGGAAACACTCCTCGGTACACACTCCTCCTCTCCATCCTGTAGCAACACAACAATCACAAAGCAAATCACGTGATTTCCACTTGTTTTTAATTGTGTACATATTGTATGTGATGGGCATGTTGACATTTTTATTCATTTTAAATTATTGAAAAAATAACAAAGGAATGTTCAAATGAAAAAAATTGCCAGTTTATTAATAGGATAGTTTATATATAGGATATGAGGAAAATTTAAGTAATAGAGACACTAATCCCACTTGAATAAGGGTTTTTCTCTTTTGCTTGACTGGTATTTTCTCATGGTGTTTCCCTGTCACTGCTGTAACTTATGTGTCCAGGCTAAAAACGGCTGCTTCCTCCACAGATCTTTGATGTAGGGGAGAGTCTGATGGTTCCTGATGAGTTCACAGCAGAGGAGAAGAAAATGGGTATGCTATGGCGACACCTAGTGGCTGGAGGAGGGGCTGGTGCAGTGTCTCGAACTTGCACAGCACCACTGGACCGTCTGAAAGTTCTCATGCAGGTAAAACACAACTATTGCAGTTTTCATTTTTCTCAGTTAAAGGAGAGGACGGCTAATAAGCATTTCATCCCACTCGCCCAGGTTCACTCCTCCAAGAGCAACAGTATGCGCATCGCAGGTGGCTTTGCTCAGATGATCCGAGAGGGTGGTGTAAGGTCTCTGTGGCGAGGCAACGGTATCAACGTCCTCAAAATTGCCCCTGAGTCTGCAATAAAGTTTGTGGCTTATGAACAGGTACACAAAACCATGCGTTAATGGAAAAGAATATGAAAGATAAAAAATTATGTAATTTGTATTTTTTTTGCATAGCTCATAGCAGAGTGAATTTGTTTGGTCTGACTTTTATGTTGCTGCTAAACAACACTGACATCTGTCCATCAGATTAAGCGACTGATTGGAAGTAACCAGGAGACATTGGGCATCACAGAGAGACTGTTGGCTGGCTCTCTGGCTGGAGCGATTGCTCAGAGCAGCATATACCCCATGGAGGTGAGAGAACAATGAACACAAAAAATAAAGCAAGACATCAGTTTAACAATAGCTGTAGCTAGGCAGCAACTTACAACTTACTGCATGCTGAAATACACTGGACTGCTCTGCCATGGAAGCTCCTGGTGCTGTTTTTGTTCTTCCAGAAGAGGTTTGGAAATGTGGTTCTTTACGTGGTCTGACTTATTTGCTGTAGTTCCTAAACACTTCCAGGTTTCAACAATACCACTTACACTTGATCTAGAAGGGAAGAAATTTTAACTAACTCGTTCCAACACTGGCATCCTGTTATTTCAGTCAACTCTTTATCTTTCACAAATTCTTTGCAAAGGCAAATTGCACAGTCAGGTCCTTGGCTTTATGCATCTGCAATGGGGCTCAAAACACCTGAAATTAAAGATTACGATGTGTGGCCCAATAGTTTCATCCATATAGCGTGTCTCAGAACCTCCTTGCCTTGTGACTGATGACCTTCAGTGTGAATATGTGGTATATGGGAATGAGGTTCATAACATGAATTTGAAAAATGTTAATTTTATTTTTCCTCTGGCTTGTTATGTTATTGTAAGTACAACTGATTCCTGGGTGAGAAGTGCAGATTTTCTGTTTTTTACAAGGTGTTACTTCTTCATTACTTCCTGTGTATTCAGGTCCTGAAGACACGGTTAGCCCTGAGGAAGACGGGTCAATACTCGGGCCTCCAAGATTGTGCTAAACATATCTTCCAGAGGGAAGGCGTGGCAGCTTTCTACAAGGGCTACATCCCAAACATGCTGGGCATCATTCCCTATGCTGGCATCGACCTGGCTGTCTATGAGGTTTGCTACTATTGCTGGGTGATAGTTTTTGGTTTTCTTTGGGGGGATTTTATTAGTTAAGTCTAACCTCTCTGTTCACCTGTCCTCTGACAGACTCTGAAGAATTCGTGGTTGCAGAACTACGCTACAGATAGTGCTGATCCAGGAGTGTTTGTGCTACTCGCTTGTGGCACTACTTCCAGCACATGTGGACAGTTGGCCAGCTACCCACTCGCTCTGGTCAGGACTCGAATGCAGGCACAAGGTCAGTCACTGGAGAGCTCAACAGCACTGCATAAGACAACAAAGATATATACACACACATGCACACACTACTTTGTACAGCTGTTTTGAAGAGGGTCCACATGGTTATTATACCAGGTTTAATGCTGTAAAGTTGGAGGTTTTAAAGTGAGAGTCTATGGGGATTAACAGCCTAAGGTGGCTACTACAAGAATTTTTGGATTTTTGCTATTAATGATGATTTTTGAATGATTAAAGTTTTCTTCTCATAGCGTATTATTAAAAATATTACCCCAATTCTTTTAATTTTTGTATTCATCATCCCCTCTGAATGCAATGTTTTGTTCTCCATTTGTATTTATTCAACGTACACCACCCGTACACAACTTAACAGTCACCAAAATTTTTATCCATAGCAGAATTTTGGAGCAGTCACCACTAAATGTAGAATAAAGAATTTGAAAAAGTGCTGCACATATTCAGGATTTATTGATACAAATTCTGGTTGGAGGTGTAAAGGACAAAAGTAAAAAGATGTGTTTGATGTGTGTTTGATGGCATCATCTTCCCTTTGTTCCTACAGCTTCTCTGGGAGGAGGTCCTCAGATGAGCATGACAGGACTGTTCAGAAACATTATTAGGACTGAGGGACCAATAGGACTCTACCGAGGCCTGGCACCCAACTTCATGAAGGTCATCCCATCTGTCAGCATCAGCTACGTGGTCTACGAGTACCTGAAGATCACGCTGGGAGTCCAGTCAAAGTGACCAGGGAGGCAGACAGAAGAAAATAAGTGGCCAAAGGTTTTTTTTGTTTGTTTGTTTGTTTGTGGTCTGAAATGACCAGCTACGGTTCAACATATTTCAGTGCAGAAAATGAAGGACAAAGCTGAGATGTGTGATTTGAAGAGAGAAAAAATTTGACTGAAGTCATGTCTGTCAGTTGTTCTCTTAAGCTTTCTTGTAGCAGCTCGGTGGTGTTTCAGCACCTGTGAGTCTTAGTTTAACAAGTGTTTACATGACTCTAAATTACTGCTAGAACTGGAACATGTCCCTGCTGCTGAGTACTGTGAAAGGAACAGTCCTGCGTCTCTGTGGAAAGGAAGAATCTTGATCCTGGTGGGCTTTGCTCAGTCATGACACTATATCATCATATTGCTGTCAGCATATGATATCATACGCTATCAGCTTTGTCTGTGAAGCTGTAACTGGATTTAAAACGGTAGATAAATGGTCGATTTGGCTGCATTAAAACAGAGATGATATAAACAAGAGAAACTAGTTTACTTTAAGCTAAAATCAGTATATAATGAAATAAAGGATTAACGTGATCCAAAGTGATTAGGGCCATTCTAGCAAAAACTAATTACAGAACCAAGGGAAGTGTTCACTATCTCTGAGATTAAAGTAATAAGTATTAAAATAGGCTTGAAATAGTTATTATCGATGTCCTATGAAAAGTTATTGCTGCAAATCGAGGAAACCAACTCAGACAGTGAAACTAGCCGCTGCGACTTGAGCCATTGGTTAGTGAAGTCTCATTCTGATCCCTGAGCTGAGAGTATTTTTTTTCCATTGGCATCTTGGTGTTTTTAAACTTAGAACAATCGTTATATACAAGGTAAGGTAAACTTCATGTTGCATTTAATATGACCTGAAGCCCATAAAGGAAAGTGTTCACTGGGGTCACATAAAAAGGGTGCTGAAGGCCGTTTTCCCAAAGACCTGTAAATAACCACAAGTCTTTGCAGCCAGAAGAATGAAGGAAAAGGCATTAAAAAGAAAGCAGGTTTAAGGCACTTTAGCACTGACTTCACTTTTCAGACCAAGAAGCTGTGTCCATATGTCACCCCCACAGTATCTTTTGTATGATTGATGTGGTTTCTTGACAACAAAGAGGGAAAGAAACAGACCATAATTTGGTCTGATCATTTCTGATGTGTGTAATTTTCTTTCTTTCTTTCTTTACCACTACAATCATTGAGAATATCCAAGTGTTTTTTTTCTTGCATACTTGTCAGTCCAAGTTTTTTCCATTTAAAATCATTATCCACTGTCATTTACTTCTGCTTTTTGTTTTTTTTTAAATGTAGAATAATACATAATAATAATAATAATAATAATAATAATAAGGATTTTCATATAAGTTTGCAGAGGAATTTCACAGAAAAATAGAAAGAAAGGCAATGAAACAATAACAGAACGATCATCTAGGGACTTGTTGACACGCTGGATAAAGAGCTCTGTTACATTCAGTCTATGGTCATAAACAGTGAGACGGAATCGTTTGTTTTTTGTATTCAGTTTTGTTTTAATTTTGGCAGATCCGACATGATCTGACCATAACAGACGTATTGTGCAGAATTCTGTTTTAAGAGAGAAAGAAGGCCACCACAGCAAACAAAACAGTGCTACAGGGAGAGTCACTGACCCAAGAAATTAGCATTGTTGAGCCACAAAGTAGTAATGCCCATGCAGTGAAAAGGTTTGCACTCATAATGCAAATCCAAAACAACAGACACCTCTGCATTAGATTTTCAAATTGAAAAATGCTTAAAGCAAAAACTTTATTGACTTCCTCTCAGCTGAAGTTGAAACTGAATGTTGTGTTATCACACTGATCTTATTTTGCTAACATGTCCCAGAGCGCTGTTGGTTTCCTCAAAAGCTTCACCTCTCAAAACTGTAATGGAAATTGATAATTATAAATGAAAGTCATGTTTCCATTTTTGTATAAACACTCCATAAAATAAGTGGTACGGCGCCCAGGCAGCACTCTCCACCTGACTGATGTCTGTATTATATGATCATCTCAAGAGTGCCTTGTGTTACACGCATAAATCCACCTGAACACTATAGGATAGCATTCCTTTTTTACTTTAAATGTATTTACTACTGTATTCATTTATTTATTTTTACAGAGAAGTCAAGGTGATTGACTGAAACGGTGTGAAAATGTTATTTAGTGCTTTTGCTGTTTTCACAGTACTCATGATAATGGTGGCAGAATTTTTATTTTTGGCTTTAACAGACTTTCAGTTATACAGAAGCCCAAAATGTTTCAAATGAAAACAGTGAATCAAATTGGATAAATGCTATTTATATGTTATAATTCTGTATATTCAGTTTTCTATTAGATTTTTATTTAAGTACATGCCATTTTTGCTTTGTATTATTCTTTTATTTTGTCAATTAAGTCAGTGACATCAATCCTGACAACATACAGAAAAACAGCGATGAAAACATTTCTCTCTCTGAGTAAAGCCGTGGAAGTGACTGAATTAACCCACTGAGATTAGCTCCTGCTGTACTGGTTCTTAATGTGAGTGTTAAAAATATTGCGTGAGGTTTGAAAGAGAACAAGTTCAAATCTCTGTACAGATGATAGGTTGTAAAATAACACAAGCACCTACCTAACTATAGGCTATACTGGTAATTTAGAGGGTTGCATCCCCGGCTATGTAGCTAAATAAGTATGAAGATGATACTGAGTCTATATTTATTTATAGCAGCATCTACATAGTTAGACGTGCTAAAGGGCACTAATTGCACTTGCTAACTAATGGATAGGCAAAAGGGCAAGAAACGAGAACGTACAAATTCCACTATTATATAAAATGTTTGAAATAAACAGGGAAGAATGCTAAATAAAAACATTTTAACATGTTTAACAATTTAGTTTTTAAACCTGTTTGTTATAAGTCTTAAAATGTATGTAATGTTGAATATGTTGGGCCTGACAACAGAATTCATATCTGTGTGTATCATTGTTAGGATGATAAAACACTGCTAACCCTACAAAAACATGACTTTAGCTTGGAAGCGAGAGAGATGCAGTGTGGACAGGTGTATAGTACTAGAATAAACATGAAGAAGCCAGTTGCCCTGATGTATAAACCAATGTGCTAAACAATTTGTGTGCTTCTCTGGTAGAGCTGCAGTCCCACACACTGGACTGTCTGGTTGTGATCTTCAGAATGTGAGCTGCTCTCGGGAGCTGATTTACTCCAGCAACATGTCTGCTTAAGTCATCACTTTCTAGCAGATTATGGGCCTACACTTGCTTATTTGAGAGTTGAACCTCACTGATGTTGAATAACAGCAAAAAAGTAAACGGATGATATATACTTTATTCTTAATGTCAGTGTCTGACTGTTTCATGCCTTTATTTCTGGCACGACTGGTGTGTTTTGCACTCCTTGCTCTGTTATTGCATATCATGCATAAAGCGGTGACACAGAATGTCATTGTGTGGCTGTGTGTAAATGTTTTCTGTATTTGTATAGTGAAAGGTAATGCTGCAGTGTCTTAAAAGTAGCCATGTGTTGGCTGTATGCTGTACTGACCAACAGCCAATTAGGCAGACCCAGTGGAAGTGCTACCTATACAAACTAAAGGCTACGCTATTCATAAACGGTGGCCTAGTTTACAAAATATATATACACTTTATATATATTTGTATTTTATTTTATTATGCTAGCTGTAAGTGAATGAGTATGTGAGTACATGTATAGTAGTTTTCTGTTTGAAGCCCCTGCCACTCAAAGAGTGTTGAGTTGAGACAAATATTTATGCTTTAATGAGTTCAGCTGTTAAATAAACTAGTTCATGACTGACTGTTTGTCTTTTGTTTGGAAACTTAAAACATAGACATCCTAAGCTCCTGTAAATACAGAACTGCAAAATGAATTTGTCACATCAAGCTCCAGCAGTGGAAGACGTCCGTGTTTGGCAATTCGTAATTGTGAAGACGAATGTTATTGTTGAACAAATACAAAAGTGTCAGTCAATCCACAAAGAAAACTGGCCTTTGTGTTTTCCATGAGGGACTTGATCAAAACATCACGATGCAGTGCACCGTTTGATGTAATGA